CAGGGGGCTCCTTACCCTCCTTTACTCCCTTGCATGAGCACACAGCAAGGGTCATGATATGACCCCAAGTCATTGGAGAGAACTTTCACACTAACCTGTCCACAATATCATATTAGTATTGATGTTGATTATTTCATGGGGGAAAGTAATTGAAAAATTAAGTCGCTCAGTAAGTCAAATTATCTGTCCAAGTTCTCTTATGGCCCTTGCCTCCCCAAGGTTACCCAAGGAGAAAATGGTGTCATATTTGCAAATAAGTAAAATATCGATAGAAAAACAAGATCTCAGAAAAAGGCAATGTAGTGAGTCGGTGTGGCTCCCCTCCTGCCCAGAGGAGGGAGCACTGGAGCAGACACCTGAGTGGGCGGAGCCACCACCACCTGTCCCCGCCCCCCGGAAGTCAAGGGGCGGGACAGGAAGTATAAAGCCTGGCAGCCAGAGCTCAGTCAGGCGCCGGCCACCGCAGGGAGCAGACGTGCGGCCAAGAGCTCCCGACCAGGCTACCTCTGAGGCCCGGGGATATTCGCCTAGCTGGCCGGAGCTGCCCCGGGCTCACTACGAGGAAGAGCCGCCGGAGCCCGTCCGTTCCCGTCATTGGGGGGAGCCCTTGGAACCCCCCCACAGCGACCCCGAAGGTGAGCCTGCACCAGAACCCCTCCGGCCCTGCTGTTACCCGGAGGAACCGCCCGAGGACAACTGGCCGGACTTCCCGATGGAGCTGCCGGACCTGCCGCCAAGCCCCGGCCGGGAGGAGCCTATGCTGGTGGACTGGACCCTGCCCGGTGCCGCGGACGAGGTAGGCCCTGAGGGGGAAATCGGAAGTAGCCCGGGGGAAGCCGACCCTGGTCAGGCTGTCGAGACATGCGAACCCATGTCAGTGTGTTTCGGTCAGGATACCCCACTGACCGGCAGCGGCAGTAACCGCTGTTAGGGCCCCGGGCTGGAACGCAGTGGAGTGGGTGGGCCTGCGTTCCCCCCTGCCACCCCACACACGGGTGGCAGGCTTCCCCCTCACCCAGCGCTCTGGTCTCGCAGCCAGAGCTTACCCGGAGTGAACTGCTTATTTAGCCAGCCCCCCCCTGCACCAGAGGGCCTGGCCTCCTGAACTG